GTCGTTAATCCACCCAACTTTCTTCGCTCACCTCAGTTCCATACACTGCAAGCAATAATGACAAGGGCCACTCCACCGCACTTTGAGACCAACCAAGAGGCTTTCTTCCCTGCTCCTCGACCTCTAGGGACAAGCTAGGATCAAACCACAAGTCACCCCGGCTTCTAGCAAGCTCATCTGCTGGGGTCACGCCGCTTGGGTCACTCATGCCTTTCCCCCCTCACTGCTGGGGAACCTAAGTCTTCTCTGAGCAACGACCGCATTTTGAAATACCTACTTGCTGCACGATGGGTTTGCAAGGAGGGTTTAGCTTCAGGACTTCGCCAAAATCTGGATTTTCAAATACAAACGGCTCTCCTACAGCTGGAAGTAGCAAGGGGTTTCAGAAACGCTTGCACCAATACCTCAGAGCCCTCCAGCCTTCTCATACCCTACAGATGCAACTTCGAGTTGCTGCCACTAGCCCAGAAAAGTTTCAGCTGAGATGGCAGAGAAGGCAGTTAATTTCTAAGGAGGTTCTGGAAGAGAAAAGATAACAGCTGATCTTCAGATAAAAATCGATAAAATCACTGTTAATAATTAACAACTACATTCAGAACAACAACTTGTTCCTCAGATAAAACTGGCAACCATCATTTTGTTTATCAGTAAAACAAACTTTGTGGCTTATTACCTCTCCCCTTTCTTTCTCCTTCCTTTTTCTTTTTTTTTCCTTTTTTAAATCTGAAACAGGCTTACATTAAAAATCCACACACTGACAACTTACTTTCCAATGTTAACAAGCAAACAGTATTCTTGATGCCAACAGTCTTTTTCCAGCAGCACTGACTGTAACAATTAGGTATAAATATAAAGTGTGCTTAGCCCAGTGAAGCGGAGAGACAGTAAATAAAGAGCATGGTTTATTCATTTGCTCCAAACCTAGAGCAACAGTACTCTGCAAAACGAACAAGCCTGAACTCCCGTTCGCTTTTCAGAACAAGAGCTGGGAAGCTGCGTTGTAGGTAAGGGGAAAGGGAGGTTTGGGAACACAGTGTGCATATAAATCTCAACTTTCTGGTTAAAAAAAAAAAATAATCTGCCAAGCAACGTTAAAAGAGTGTAAGCAACAAATTTTTTTGGCATCTTAAGACAACAGAATGTCTTCAGTTGCTCCACTTGCAGTGTACAGGAGCTAAACCACCGAGGGCTTTAAGGCAAATTCTGACTCAAGGGGAATGTTCTCACGAGAGACGTCAGCTGCTTCCAACGCTGCGACAGCCGGGCCATCTCTCAACTGGGGAATCCTCTCCCCCCCAAACAAAAAACACCACCTCCTATAATTTTAAAAAAGCTGCTGTGAGGGAGACCAAGTACCAACATTTGCTGTGCTTTTTTCAACACAGATGAATTTTCAGACTGTCTCCTTTTACACGTCGTATGAAATATGTATTCCCTGGTAAGCAAGAACAAGTCGAGGTAGCTGCACACACCTTTCAACGTGCAGACAGCTCAGATGCAGAAGTTCACAGCTGCAGAGGACCTATAGCAACAGTATTTAAACTTTCAGTGGACAGTAAAGCACGTGAAAGTGTAGCTAACGGGGAAAAAAGTCCATCTACACCTCTGTAAACCTTCACGTGCTACCAGCAATTTAGTTCCCGAGATGGAGGTGTTTTACATATGCCATGTCCTGAGCAGGACTAAATACTTTATTCAGAAATGCAATAAATGACATTATTTTAACATCTGAAAGAAGTAACTGCATAAGCAAAAGTAGGAATTCTTGTTTTTTTCCCCATCTCTTCCTGACTGCACCTGCCAAGTCAGTACGTCCGTCAGCTTCTCACTACTATAACCCAGCTGCTTGTAAGCCTACTCAGTGGGTAGCTGAAAAGTTGGTATTTACTTCTCTGACGCACCTCTTGATTTGAAATCCAGCACTCACGAACATTTGCTCAATTACCACCTAGTGTGATTTATTAAGAGAAACAGCTAGCACCAAGGGCTGCTTAGAGCAAGACAAATTTTCCTAGACTGCCTTGCTAAACAGATTTTAATTGAAAATTGTGTTCATTCATCTTCCATTATGCCAAATTTTTTGTTTTTCCAGAAAGAAATTGGAATTATAGAAAAATAAAATGGCCTGCATAATCCATCTTGTATTTTCAGGTTGTTTTTCAGGGAGGTAGGGATTTAGAAATGTGGTTTATAAATAATGTGGCATATAAACGCCAACGCATTTTGCCCACAACACGCAGGCACATTTCTCTGGCTTGGTTCACTGGTGCTGTGCCCTTCGTGGGGCTGCAATTTAGCAGTTGAGAATTTGGTATAAAAGCCAACAGAACCAAAGCAGCACAGCAGAGATGCTGTACTTGCTCTGCAGTGGACTGAAAGAACAGAGACAGACTTTTGGTTTATCCAGTCCAGTTTTACTTCGCGTAACCCCCAAAAGGTCCGAAAATGGTTTCAGGAAATTGAATTAAAGAGAAAAGAAACAAACAAACAAATTGTGTGCCTAGGAATGACTGAGCTTCCCTTCTTTTGCACATGCTTCCATACTGGGATTCACGAATAATTTCAAAAAGATAGAGTGTTCCCTTCTTGCTAGACATTTATTTACTCACTGCAGGAAAGCAGACTCACCGTAGCAGTCAAGCTGGCTCAAAGCTTTTTGGCTGCACAAGTAAAACCCAAGTCTTGCCACCCTACGGAGGGGAAGCCAGCACTGCCTGTCTCCTAGGGCATGGAGCACAGCTTGGGAGGGCACCCCAGGGCCCGGCGCGCGCTTCTGCTGCTGCTCAGAGGCAGAAGATCCCCGATGGGGCACGGCT